GCTGTCTTTTTTTACTTGGCTCCCAGAATTAATAAGCTTATGTGCCCCTTAAACAGAATATTAAAGAATTATTTTCTGGGGAAACTAACCTATGGCACAATATATTACATATATGGACTTGGGTAGTTCATCTGTCTAAACAGGTATCTCCTCATAAGATCATCTACTGGGTAAGCTGCTGGTCAAGAAAACTGTTCCAATGGACGTAGTGGCACATACCTGTAATCATAGTACTCGGGAAACTGACTCAGGAGGATTGAAAATTCAAAGCCATCCTGTACTACATGTAGCGAGATTGAGACCAGCCTGGGGTGTGCCAAGACCCTGTCTTCAAAAAGCCAAAAACGAGGAAAAAACCAAAAAACACTGTTCATGTACCACAACTTTTAGGCAGCTTTTAATGCCTCAGATTTAAACACAAATGTACAGCCAAGAGTAACCAGCCATTTGACAAAGTTCTTATATAAAATAGACCAAATAGGAAACAAGCAAGTAGAAAATAAAGGACCTTGATAGAAATAGATTTACAAGAGAGAATAAAAGAAACTTTGGTTAAAAATAAAACTAGTATCTTTTTTTTCTTTATTTTATCATTTTAATATTTACTTAGACACGTATACATTGTTTGGGCCACACACCCCCCCCACTTCCAGGCAGAACCGGTTCCACCCTCTTGTTGTCCTATTTTGTTGAAGAGAAAACAATAAGAGATAATAAGAAAGACATAGTATTTTTGCTAGTTTGAGGTAAAGACAGCTGTACAGAGAGATTTCTAGCATTGCTTCCGTGCACTTGTGTGTTGCAGCCCACACTGGCTCATTTCTGCCGGACCTCTTCACTACTTCCTGGTCCACTTACCATAGTGGCCTCTGCCAGTTTAAGATTACTATATGCACTCCCCAACAGTGAGCACATCAACCACATTCAAGTTTTAGGTTTCCTTCCCTTGCCCTATTCCTCCTGTGCACAAAACTAGTATCTTTGGACAGAAGAGATGATATCCATGAAAGATGAAGAGGTTCTGTTTTTTAAAAAATTTCTCAGAAAACATAATTGTGACAGAAGAAGCTTTTTTTAAAACTTCAAGATTCAGCTAATAAGGCTGAAGAACTCTTTGGATTTTCAGATCAGAGATGCTTAAGCTATGCTTTTAGGATTTCGCTTATGGCCAAATTCATAATCTGTAGGGTTTTCTTTCTTGATTGGCATATATTAATTGTACCAAGTGAGGTTTCATTGTAGTAATTTCATACATGCATGTAATGTACTTTGGTCATTCAGCCTCTCTATTTTTTATTATCTCCCCTGCTCCCTGTGTAGGGTTTTGTCTTGGTTTTGTTTGGGGAGTTTTTTGCTCAACTTTATTGAGGCAGGATTTTCATGCAATAAAATGAACATGTTTTAGGTATGGTTCAATGAAGTTTGGTAAGTGTACCATGTTACCACCAAACCAATAAATACAGGACATTTCCATCACCCCAAAAAGTTCCTCTGTGCTTACCCAACTTGCAGTCAATTTTCCATTACTAAACCTTACCTAGGCCTCCACCAGAAGGATTTTTATCTCTATAGATTATTTTTGCTGATTTTAGAACTTCACTTAAATGGAATCCTATAGTGTATACTCTTTTGTACCTGACTTCTTTTGCTCCATTTAATGTTTTTGAGATTCATGCATGCATCAGCATTTTTTCTTTTTTATTTCTTAATAGTATTGTGTTGTGTGAATGTTCCATAGTTTGTTTATATATTCATTCATTGATGAATATCCCAGTTGTTTCTAGTGAGAAGGCTGTTCTGAACTTCTGATGCAATTCTTTTTGTGGATATGTTTTATTTTTCTGGGGTAAATATTTAGGAATAGAATTTCTGGATCAGAGGTTAAGTATGTTTGTATTTATTAAGAAACTTATTATTTTCCCAATTGGCTATAGTACTTTGTATTCCTACTAAGAGTTTATAATATTTTAGTCATTCCAACGAGGTATGATGGTACATGCCTGTAGTCTTACTACTCAGGAGGCTGAGGTTGGAGGATTGTTTGAGTTAAAAAGCAACCAGGGATCTGGAAGTGTAACTCAAGTGGTAGAAGTGCCTACCTAGCAAGCACGAAGCCATGAATTCAAACCTCAGTACTGGCAAAAAAGAAAGAAGAAAGAAAGAAAAAGAAAACCAACCCAGGCAACACAGAGAGACACCTCTGTGAATAAGATAATTTCCATTTTGGGCCATTCAGTGTTGTAGGTACTATTTTATTATGGTTTTAATTAGCACTGCTCTGAATACTAATTGCTTAATGATGCCTTTTGAAGATCAGAAGATATTAATTGTCATGAAGTCCAGTGAACCCATTTTTCTTTTATGATAACTTTTTTTGGGTAATACTGGGGTTTTGAACTCGAGGCTTTATGCTTAGTAGGCAGGTGCTCTACTTCTTGAGCCACTCGTCCAGCTGATGGTAACAAATTTTGTCCCTTTGAAAACTCTGTGTACCCAATAATAAAGATTTTTTTCCTGTGTTATGTTTTTGTAGAGGCTTTATAGTTTTAGGTGCTATTTTTATGTCTGTAAACTCATTTCCAGTTAAGTTTCATGGGTTCAAGGTATAAGTTTGAAGTTCGTGGTAGTTCATGGGTTTTTTCCATTTTGGTTGTTCTAAAATTATTCGTTATGAAGATACCTTTCCCTGTTGAATTATGTTTGTTGGTGATGTGCTGAAAATCAGTATCTAGTTTCTTTTCTGTTCTGTTGATCTCTATTCATTCTCTTTATGTTAGTACCACATTATCTTGACTACTGTGTTTCTGTAGTAATTCTTGAGATCAGGTATAGTGAGCCTCATCTTTATTCTTTTTCAAAATTATTTTGGCTATTCTGAGGCCTTTGAATTCTTACGAAAGTTTTAGAATCACATAATCAGTTTTTGCAAGCTGGTATTGTGTTGATCCTGTAGCTTGATTTTTGTATCTTAACACCCTTAGCAAAGTTATAAAGCTAGGCAGTTGTATCAGAGAGCACAAGTCCAGATTGAAGCTACAAGACATAATGCTTTGTGAAGTATACTTCCCCAAACAGAAAACTGTACTACAGCGCCATACTAACAAAAACAACATGGTATGGGCACAAAAAAAGATGCAGAGACTAGTGGAACAAAATATAAGACTCCGAAATAAAACTATATTACTACAGTCATCTGATCTTTGATAAAAGAACTAAAAACATGCACTGGAGAAAAGACAGGCTCTCCGACAACTGGTACTTGACAGTTGAGTATTGACAGGCAGAAGACAGAAACTAGACCCTTCTCACTGAATAAAACTCAACTCCAAATGGATCAAAGATCTTAAAAAGACCTGAAACTTTGAAATTACTACTGGAAAAAAATAGGTAAAACTCTAGAAAATACAGAGATAGGACTCCAATTGCCCAGGAAATAAGAGAAAGAATTGACAAATTGAATTACTTCAAATTAATCTGTACCTCAAAAGAAACAATTACCAAAGCCAAGAGACAGCCCACAGAATTGGAGAAAAATCTTTGCAAGCTATTGAACAGATAAAAAATTAGTATCCAGAATATATGAAGAGCTTAAAAAAATTAAACAGCAAAAGAAAAATAATCCAATTAATAAATGTCAAATGAATTGAACATTTCTCAGAAGGAATACAAATGGCTAATGAGTACATCAGGAAATGTTCAATATCCTCAGCAATAAAGGAAATGCAAATCAAACTACATTAAGATTTCACCTCACCCCAGTCAGATTGGCAATCATCAAAAAAAACAAACAGCAGGGCAACAAATGCTAGTGCTAGGATATGTTGGTAGGAATGTAAACCAGTACAACCACTGTGGAAATTAGTACAGAGGTTACTCAAAAAAACTAAAAATAGACCTATTTCATGACCCTGCAGTACCACTCTTGGGCATATATCTGAAGGAATGTAAGTCATTAAACAAGGGAGATACCCATGTTTATTGCAAAGCTGTTCACAATAGCTAAACTGGAATCAGCTGAGATGTCCAACAGCCAATGAATGGATGAAGGAAATTATATATATACATGTGTGTGTGTACACACACATCATGGACTATCACTCAACCATAAGGAAAAATGAAATTATTGATGGAACTGGAGATTATGTTGAATGAGATAAAGCAAGCTCAAGAAACAATATTGCATGTTCTCACTCATTTATGCAACCTAGACCTAAAATATTGATGATGATTTTGATGATAATGGAACATGAATAATGTGTTAGGGGGATGTCTGGAGGGGACCAATGGGACAGGGGGAAAGGAAAGGAAAGGATACTGAGGGGTGAAGAAGATTGAAGTATTGTATATATATGAAGAGAACATAATGAAACCCACCAAACACTTTGAAAAAGGTGGATGAGGCGGGAAATAGGAACATAATAAGAGTGGTGAACTTGTTCAGAGTACATTGTACACATGTATAGAATTATCATAATGAAATCCCTAATATTTATGTATGCTAATTCAATAATCCCTGCCTTTCATATATTAAAACTGTTAAAAACTTTGATCTGTCTCTAGAGATTTTAATTCTTTAGGAGAACTTCAAGATGATAATGATAACTGAAATGTAAGCAGAGACCATTTTAAGTTCAGATAAAATATGATGTAAAAAAGGAACTTTACTACTATACAGTATGGCTCAGCCAGGATGAACACACATAATTAAATAGTGAAACTTTGAATATTGATGTAACAAGAATAGTTATGTACTATGAAAACATGGAACAGAGAAGTGTGAGAGGTTTGTGGAGTAAGGGGAGGTGTTTTTTCATAAAGGAATGTCTAGAATTTAAATACTGTATTGAAGAACAGAGTTATGCCAGAAAATCCAGCTGAAATTGAAGGAGATTAGCAGATGATGCCTGGCACATTATCAATTACAGCTACCTTGCTAATCAATAGGGTAGAAATCTCTTTGCATGAGAACAAATAAAATTTAGTGTTGTGCTCAATGCCTCATGTATAACAAGCCTTCAGGAAAGCAGTTTGTAGAGTCAGTGTTAGAACTGAAAGAAGCTTTAGAAAGGTAATTACATCTAAATGAGGTGTTAGAGAATATACATCATTTAACAAAACCTATCAGTGTGCTTTCAGCTGCAAATAAACATGTATCAAAAATTCCAGATAAAGGACAGCTCCAGGTTAACTTACCAGTTGAAAGATTTCATCATGGATCCAGTTTCTTTCTATGTTACGTCTTTGTTGTGTTGACTGGAAGATGTTCTAGGCAACATCGCCTCAGTTAGGATCCTAAGTTAAGACTAGATGGTGGTATGAAGCTTTCCCAGAATCCTGTCTCTATGTTCACTGACCTCTCAGCCAAAGTGAAGTCATGTTTATTCCTAAAATAATCACTAGCTAAAGGGAGTAGAATTAGCCATAATCAGCTTAATAGGAGCTTAAGTAAAATTCTCGAATATGATGGAAATGTTATGTACTCATGTATGTAAGTGGAAAAATGAGACCTGTTGAAACTATTCCAGGAATAGGGGGAGGGGACATAAAGGAGAATAATAGGGGGATGAATTCAACTGTGATATAAGAACTTTTGTAAATGTTACATTGTACCTCCAGTACAACAATATAAAAATAAAATTTTCTCACACTCATGCCTCTCTCTCTCTCTCTCTCTCTCTCTCTCTCTCTCTCTCTCACACACACACACAGAGAGAGAGAGAGAGAGAGAGAAGAGAGAGCGAGCGCTACTTTATAAAAATTGTGGTTTGGGGGAAGGGGCTTAATTATAGGGAAGACAGTTGTCAATATTGGCACACTAAGGTCCTAGAACAAGTTAGTGTAGAGCCTACACTAGAACCCTGTTCTCCTGATTCTCAATTTAACTTTTCCTTCTTGGCATAAATAACTTTATTTGCTTAATTACATTACTACTTTTCATAAGGATCTTGCATATATCCACACTTCTGCCTCAATTTCTTTTTGAAAAAAAATGGGCTATAAAACTATACATGCTGTTTTTTAGTAAAGTAAAACTATAACACGTAATTGTTAAGAATACAGTGTTATAAAGTTCATGATAAAAACTGAAAACTACCACCTTTTAAGCCTCTTTCTTTGTTCTTATTCTTCTGTCTTCTCATTTTAAACTACTTGCAGTTACTTCATTGTATCATATTTATACTTTGTGCATTTGCTCATCCTGTCCATCCCTTTTTTATGGCTTCCTTAATCATTTGAATATCTCAGATTTCAAGTATTACTGTCTCTCTGAAACCTTTCTTGACTTATCTCCACCCCCCCCCAAATTGGTTGTGCCACTATGTTTCCACTGTATCATGTTCTAAATACATTTATAGTGTTGATTTCTTTGCACATTTGTCTTCATTTTCTGGTCTGAGCTCTTTTGACTTGTTTCTTTATGATAGAGATTATTTCTTCATTAAGTCACCACTATTAGCTTTACATAATGAATTGATGTACTAATTTGGGGATTAGGAGTGAGATTTTTTTTAAATTGTCCTACTTAGTTTTGCTTTCAGCTAAATAGAATAAAGACATGATTCTATGATCTCTGCTTTTTATTTTGAAAGATTTTTTTCCAGAGGGAAGAGTAATTCCTATAAGCATAATTATTTCTGTGTATAAAATTTTAACTAGCAGTTAAAAGACTCTTGGAGGAAAGCATTTTAAACAATGTTACTACTGCTTGGAGAGCAGATTTAGTGCTTAGCTGTAGAGACTTACCAAAGGAGAAAAATAAGCATTACAGATTTATTCGTAATGCAAATTAGATTCTTGGTAAACATTTGTTTATATAGTAGATATGCTGTAAATAGAATAATTCACTTTATTATCTTTTCATTTTAGCATTTATGACATTAACAAAGAACAGGACTATGTCAAGAATTCTGGGGGCTTATGTGATGAAAAAGAATTAAGACCACCCCCACAGCAACATTCTCTCTTAGAGAAGATCGAGACAGGGCTCCTATCAGAAAACAGTGGGTATTAAGTTAAGTGCTGTAAGTCATTACTAATGGATCTAAAATAGAATTATAAAAGAATTTAATTTAATTTAGGTCATGTAAAACGAAAAGATTTTTTGAAGACTTGTAATTTCCACTAGTTACAACTTTTATAGTCCTTAGTCTAAATTTGATGGGTTGATAGGTGATTAAGTTTTCAAATTGCATCATAAAATTGTTTTTCCTTTATTTGTATTTCTTTGAATTACGATTTTTTGTTTCGGAGGCAGCATGCCACTGCACAGCCTAGGCTGGCCTTGTTCTTGTGATTCTCCTGCCTTAGCCTCCTGAGCACTGGGATTACAGGCATGTACCATCATGCCTGCCTCCAACAGGCACTTTTCAAGTTTCTTTATTAGACGTTGTTTTAGGTAACTTTATGTGGAATAGCCTCTTCATTTCCTTAATACCCAGATAACCTTGAAAGTTTAACCATGACTGTCTCTCCACAAAAAGAGGCCATTCATTTATGAAGTGTTAATATCGCTCAGTGCCCTAATTACACTCGTAAATGAAAGTACATTGTGTAAACAAGAGAGAGCATCGATGATTTTATGGATAAAATTCTCATCCATCTCATTTACTGACAGAAACTCGTACTTTTTTGAAAATATAATTGAGGTTGTTATTAGGTAGCTGTGAAAGTTTCAAGATTTGCTGTTGTTTCCCAACAACTTTGCTTTTGACATTCTTTTCCTTCTGCTAGCCAGAAAAGTATTACTTTTATAAATATACTGCCATTTGAAGAGTGCTGACCTAACAGGGAAAAGCCTTTTTAGCTATAAGTACATAGTTTTAGAAATAAAGTTATGTTCAAAGCACAAAATAATTTGTTTCCGACTTGTTCCTTCTTGTTCGTGTTAAATCATGAGACTCGTGGTTTAACTGAACTGGTATTCTCCATAGTTTAGTTAAAGTAGCCTCTGATCATATGTAATCGGGCAACCCTGTGTTAAAGTTAAGTTGGTTGTACTTGTAGTTACACCACCTCTTACAATTTTCAGTATATTATTGTGCATTATGATGCTCAAAAATGGGGATGTAAATAGTATTCGACTCTTTCAAAATATAATATCTGTGCCTGTCTCTTTAATATCTTGTGGAATCTAGAGGCAGTGATAATCATGGTCTTCATTTTCAAAGCTGCTTTTTTCCTTTACTTCTTTGTCTACTATAATCAAATGTTTCTCAAATATTGGGTCTAAGAGTATATATAATTAGATTTTTGAAAATTATCTTGCTTTTAAAAATATGTAAAATTTTCAAATCAGAGTTTATAAAGGATTCTTGATTTGTATTTGGGCTAGCAGTGCAGATTATTTGTAAGGAGAGTTTGAAAATGAATAGGTGTTGAAAACACATAGGCTTCCAGTTTGTTTTGACTAATACAGTCTTAGGAGACCAACTTTTACTGTCTTCCCTTATGTTTTGCTATTTGAATCTATTTAGAATATCTGGTTTTTGATCCAGAGTCACTGACTGGTCCTGCCCAGCCCCCAAGTAACTGACACTCCAGGTGCATGGAGTGGTACCCAGCTCAGAATGTCCTTGTTTCTTATACCATTGGTATTGAAGACGAAAGTGAAACCAAACAAATGTAAAAGTAAAACTTAGAATGTATAGACCAAGTGCACTAAGTCACCAAATTCTTAAAACATTTCATCCTTTTTTTTTCTTTCCTTCCTGTTTTCAGTCTTTTATCTTAATACAAAAATTGATAATAGAAAGTTTAAGGGATTTTTTAAAAGACCTTGATAATTGAAGTATTAGGACAGTTTACTCCAAATTAATTTACTTAAAAAAGGTTGCTTGCATTTCCTTTATAGTCTAGTTTTAGATAATAATAGGTAACAGCTAGTTACATCTGTTCTTCATAAGTTAATTTTTATTAAAATGCTTTTTTCTCTTTAATGTTTGAATTTTAATGCAGTTGGCAGAGTTTGGATGAAAGTAGAAAGCCATAATAATGTACTTATTTATACTATATGACCAAAACTCCCAGTGCTATTCTCATTATAAGTAGCTTTGTAAAGATAAACAGAACAGAAAGCATACAAATAGAGTATAAAAAGTTCAGTGGTTAAATGTTGTTGTATTACTAAATACAGCTAATAAGACTCAATTCTTGCTGAGATAAAAACCAGCAGAAGATTAGAAGGTCATCAACAGAATTGCTGGATTCAATCAGTAATTCTCAGTTAGGGACATGCCCTTCAGGAGAGGGAATAGCGCACTCTCTGTGTGTAGCACTTGTTAGAGATCGGTAAAAAGCGTGTTCAGAAATGTGGTCAAGTTTTATTTTGCAAACTGAAAAACAATTAGGATGCATCTCATGGGAAGTAAAGCTCTGTAGACTCCTCTTGGCTACTGGGAAAACCTCGGAAATAGAATGATTTCCGCTGTGCTTGGTAGGTGAGCAGTAGTAGGTCCCTTAAAAGAAACCTGGCAGACTTATTGTGGAACTTGATGAGAAAATAGAAAGGGAAGGTTTGTTAGAATGTGGCATAGGTTAAAAAAAATAAAAAACTAAAGAGTAAGAAACACTGGTCTAAGCATTTGCAGACCTTGATATAATTACTTCTTCTGTTGTGCAGTGCACAGTCTCAAACCAACAGGCTTACAGGTCTGGCAGGGGACTGCTAAAAGTAATTCTCCCTCACTAATAATTTGTTTAGATTATTTTCTTCACATGAGAGGTCTTTTAAAATTCAGGACAGTACAGATAAGGTTGCTACAACACATCATGATTTTCTTAGTTAGAGAGGAAAGGAATAGGTGACGTATTGAGTGACATTCATTGTGCCCCTTCCTTTTATTATCTTACACAGTAACATGGTTTTTGTTTGTATTTTACAGTTTTTGAGACAGTGTCCTTGAGTTCAGATTCTCTCTTCCAGAGGGCAGTTTCAGTTCTCCACACTTCTTACTTGGATTCTGCATCTGAGCATGGTTTTCAATACACTCAAGTGACTTTTGTGAAAAATGATATTTTCTTAAATGAGGTGAGGTTCTTGGTATATATTGTCTCTCAAAGTTTTATTTTAGGTTCAAAAGAAATATACCCATAATTTTTTATATATAAGCCTAGCATTTCTTAGCTAGCATTTTTCAGATGAGATAAAGATCTCTGGAAATAGACACTTAGAAAGTAATATGTTCTAAGGAATAGAAAAATGATGCATTTAAGTAGTTTTTAGCAGGAGGAGTTCAGATGATATATTTAAAAACTTAATTTTCAAAAGAAAATGGCATACTTATAGCATGTGGTTATTCTCTTTGTACAGTACAAAACTGTTTACCAACAAAAACAAGCGAATAATTATACTCAGGAAGAACTTCAAGAAACTTACGGATTTCTTCTGCTTGAAACTGAAAATCAGGTAAGGGAATTAGATTGCATAAAAATTAATTTTGAGGTATTGTACAAATTTAATGGCAGTTACCCTTAATAGTAATAATTTCACTCTGTGAGATTTGTAAAGTAACCAGCCCATCGGTATTTTTATTTAGTTTGATGGCAATGTAAGTGACAGTAAAAGCTAATCTTGAAAGACATTTGATTTTTACAACTTTTCGTAGTTTCTCTTTCGTTTTGGTGAAATTTAGATTAATACAGTTCTTTTTGGATTAATGCAGGTTTAGTAACCTTTAGTGGAGTATTAGGCATTTCTTCGTTGATTCATTGTTGATATTGATAATTCCTGTTTCTGTGAAGGCTTTTCAAGTTTAAATTACATGGTTTTGAGGATAAGATGGATACCGGTATTCTAGTTACTTTGAACTGTTTCATTCTGTATTTGAAGACTTCCCGTACTTCAATTGGGGGAGAAGGAAACTATCGTGTTTGTCTAGTCTGTAACTTTCAAGGAACAGTTTAAGGAGTACTAGGGAATGTATCATCAAAACTTAGCAGTAATTCAGAAGCAATACTTGGGTTGAGTTAATGGTTTACAAAGAACAATGGCAGATTTGCTTAAGGAATAATTAACAATAACATAAGAATTATATAGTAATACCGTAGGAACTTACCCTTTTAACTTAGTCATCTAAATCCAAGTAAGTTGTGCCATTGGCTTATACTAAAAAAAGACAATTTCAGATTTAATGGTTGTAAAGGTTTAATTGGAAAAGAAAGCATGTAACTGTGATCTTGTTTAATTTGGTTTCACTGGTGACATTTTTGTTAATAGAAATGGTAAATTTTTATGAAAATCTTTGGATCATTAATCATGAACTTGCTTTGTTGCTATGAATACATGCAGTGAACAGGTTTTGTATTTTTTAAATTTTATAAATAATAGCACTATTTCATTACTTTTCCCAAGACTGATAACAAGCAAAGCAGTATTTTTTGTTTAAAGGCAAAATTGATATGTCAGCGTGGACTCTGTGTTGGCAGCAGTGCTATTACCACTCTGGGTGATCCAGCTAAAGGTGAGTCTGTAGCAAAAAAGAATGTCTTCTTTTACAAGATGACGGTAAGATTTGATTTCATAAGATACTTATATTAAAAGCCAATTTTGTTAATTTCAAACAAATCATCTTTAGAGTCAGAACTTAAACATGGAAATAAGTTTTGCATCTATAACTTCAGGTGTTTTTTAGTGCCAAGAGATTGTTACTGTCAAGGATCTCTTCTAAACCATCATAATGGCAATAAGAAGAGGTAGAACTGACCAAACTTGGCAACTGTGGAATGTTCAGAGTAAGAGAGGAAAGAATAAAATAAAAGGTTTTAAACACATGCAATAGTGATACTAGAAAAGAGACATAGATGAGAGCAGCAGATTGCTGGGGAAGCTGATGAGTTAAGAAAGATAAATGGAAAGATTAAGAACATGATTAGCACTAAAGTTTTTACACTTCAGTTTTCTCATTTGGAAAATAGATCTGTGGTGAGGACAGAGACTATGTAAAATACTTAGCTCAGGAACTTATACAGAGTAATTTCTCAGTAAGTGACAATACTTCTATGAGTTAAATTTGAGAAATAATGACTTTTCATACATGTTTCTGAAATATAGCCTACAGGTGGTAAAAATAGTCAGGAAAAGAATCAGAACCAGGGCAGAGGGTGAGGTATTAATTGAAGTCAAGACATTGTTATATGGGGTTGTATAGGAGAAGATGGTGCAGAACAGAACTTTTTGGGTTGTTGATGGGTCCAGGGTGTTGGGAGCTGGGGGACATACGGAATGAAAAGGAGTCAAGAGCAGTCCATTGATGGAGAATTACTAGGTAGAGTTTCACACAAAGCAGGTAGATCTCAAGAAGAGGGGTGTTTAGCAGTGTCAGGTACCGTAGCATGTAGCAATCAGGACTGGGGAGGATTATTGGGCTTTGTGGCTGCATTCCTGCTGTCCTTTTTTTTTTTTTTGAAGTACTTTCATTAAAGTCACCACACATACATAGCATATACCCATTTGAACTCTATGATTCAGTGTTTTTTTTTTAACCAAGTGAGTGTGTCTATAGAATTTGCAACCATTACTATAATCAACTTTAGACCATTTTTTATCAATGAAGAAGAAATCCTGTGTCAATTACAGTGACTTCTCATTCCTCACCATCACCAGCTTTAGGCAGCCACCAGTCTACTTTCTGCCTTTAAAGATTTGCTATTCTATACATTCATGTAAATGGAATCATACAATGTATGGTATATATCTTTTATAAGTAACTTCATTTATTTAGCATAATGGTTTTGAGGTTCAAGTATGTCTTCAATAATCTGTGGTCTTTTATGCTTCCATTTTTTTTGTTCATTTATTTCTCTACTTAGGATTTCACTCCTCTATCTAAAGAACTCCTTCCCCAAATGTTACTGCATTTAATAATGCTTGTTTCAATTTCTTTGTGCTCTCAGATAGACAATATACAATTGACAGATGTATGATGTGGCTACAGTGGCAAAAAGAACAAATATAACTTTGGTCTTGATAGAATTTACAGTCTAGCAGAATAAGCTTCTTGAAGGCAGGAACCTTGTTTTATTTGCCTTTGTGTCACTCCTGTGTACTGAGAAACCTGTCATACAGTAAACTCTAGGTGTATATTACTAAGTAAGTGCTTACTGAGACTTTTTATGAAGAATAAATTGAGTCAGATTATCATAGGCCTTTGGTTGAATGCTTGCACAAAGGGGCAGGGGAAGACATATTTATCAGATAGTAAATATTTTACCCAATAAATAAATTGATAAATAATAAAAAGATACATTTAGATTTTTCCAACAATGTGATAACTTTTTATCCCTTTTCAGTTATTGTACCCAAGTAGAAAATTGTTTATCAAACAGATATTTTAAACTTTAAAGTTTCTATACTTTTAGAATATCACAAATAGTGATTCATAAAAGTTAAGCAATATCAAAACATTTTTAATGGATTTTTAGTCCTACATGTAAATTGTATCTGAGTCTTTTTAAAGTATAAATTAATCTGTGTTTTATGCTTTTATAGGTGTATACATTTCCAAATATTCAGACTATCTTCACCCCAGACCATGGTATCATGGGAAGTCGGGTTATATTGTAATTTGTAATCTAATTAAGGTAAAGCCCACATGTACTTTTAAGCAATTTTCTCTTAAAACTGAAGGTTATATGCCTATATTTCTTTTTATTTTTAAAAATTTTGTTAGCATGTAATAGTTGTAAAGGGGGATACATATATAATTTACATACGTGCTTATAATATATCTTAGATTTATTCCCTCCATTGTTTTCCCTCTTCCCCCCTCCCTTCCTAGAACAATTTCAAAAGGTTCCTTCTGTTTTTGTATATGAATATAAAATACACCCACCATATTTACCCTCATTCACGCTTTCCTTATGCTCACACCCATCCCACTGGTACCCATTGCTAGGAAAGACTTTTTTTACCCTCCTGCCCTTCATTTCTCTTTTAAGTATATATTGATACTCTAAGGAGATTTTGCCTTGGTACTTTAGGGCTGTATATGTCATGCTTAAATTAAATTAACTCCCCAGTGACTTACTCTTATCACCATGGTCCCCTAACATTCAACAGCTTATAGTACAGTACATTATTTTATATTCACGTACATATTTTTCATTCTCTAACATTTTCTGTAGTTCCCTCAGATAGACACTAATACAATTTTGTTCTCTCTCTTACTATGTATGTATGTGTGTATATGTGTGTATATATATTATATGATCATATGTTTCTATATATGCATTTAGCTTATAAGTCTAGCTTCCACATATGAGGGAAAACATTGCAACCTTTGACGTTTTGAGCCTGACTGTCTGTATTTCTTTGTACAGACACAGTCCTTATCTAAGTCAGCTATCCAAATCCAGGAGAAATAAAACTTTTTTTCTTTTCTTTAAAAGTAAAACTTTTGTTCATGTAATAGATCATCTGTGAACATATTTTTTTTAAAAACTTAAATATAATAAAAAGGGAGGGTATTCAGTGAAACATTTTCCTCATCTAGCACATTCATATTTTAAAGATGAAATAATAAAAACAAGTAGTTGCTAATGAAATAATGATTACAGTTATCAAAGGTGAATTTTGAAAACTGTCTTTTATCTGATTTAAATTGCCAAAAAAGAAGTCTTTATCCTTCAAACATCTAAACCTTGTTCGCAGATTCATGTGGTACCTAGAACTGATCTGAAAATTTTCAAATGTACTAAATGGAGGAGTTTAAGTAATCACTCAGAATGTTCACCCTATTAGTAGTAGGGAAACTGGTTTTAGATAGTGGTAGGCTTTTTGTGGTCTTATTTTGTTTTGTTTTATTGTTTTGTATTAGCTATCATAAGTTCTTTGTTTATAAACTCCAAACTACTGATTCTGCATATATTTCAAAGTTCATTCCCTAAGAACTGGAGGGAAAGTAACATTGCTTTGCTGTACTATCCCTACTTTCCTTCCTTAGTCTTCATTTTCTGTCTGTGATAAGTGATGTAGTTCTGCAAAACAGTATGCCTTTTGACACAGATAAAAGGCATTTGGTTTTTTACTTATGTGGGATTATAGGATTGTCCCTCTTTCTTGGTTTCTTGCCAGTATATGCTCCTCTATCTGGCTAGACCTATTTAGTTTTTGCCTGTGTGCTCTCAGTTGTTCTTACTTCACAAAAGTGAACCATACTTAGTGCCTTAAGCTATTTGATGGGGAGAAGGTCGGGGTTGTGATGAGTATCAGGTGGTGCTGTTTACATTCTTTGGCTTCTTAGTATTGCCTGTGGTGGTTATATAAATGAAGAGGGAGGACTTTAACACAGAACAGAAAATCTTGTTTGAAAGAGTGTAATTTGCTGGGCATGGTGGCACTTGCTTGTAATCCCAGCACTCGAGATGCAAGAGGACTGAGACCTGAAGGCCAGCCTAGGTTACCTAGCAAACTAGCAAAACAATAGTAATTGCATCCTCCTTTTAAAAATAAAATTGCATACAATCCCACACTGTACTTTGGTGTATGTGGTGGTTATTTTGTATGTTTTAATTTTTCCTAATATATTGATTTCTTAACCTATAAAAAGAGCTTATACTTCATATTTGTTTTATTGTGAATAATTTCTTACATTATGAAATCACTATAACATTTCACCATATGACAAAACTTGTTTTCTTTTTTCATCGCTAGGTATTGAACCCAGGACCTTGCCTGTATCAGACAAGTACTCTACCACTGAGCTACACCCCCTTGCCCCAGTAAACTTAATCTTAACCCTTGATGAAGAGAAGTCTGTAAATGTTAACTACAATTGACTGTTTGGTGGTCAAGGCCAATTGCCTGCTAAGCATTTTACTACATGTTTGTTCCTTACTGACTTGCTGGACCCTAGCATAATTTACAGATGATTAAAATTTCAGTTTAGAAACTCATTTCTGGAAATTTTAGATTTCATTTGTCATCTTGTTTGTTAAAATCACTATAGTCATTCAGTGAGTATCATAAAAGTTTGTGGGCTGTATAGTTTTTCTCTTCAAAACTGATTCTATTAGGTTTTGGATCATGATGTATTCTTTTGATACTGTGACAAAAGCTCTGGTTTTTCACCTCAGAAAGACACCCAAACACATAGTTGATTTTAATACAATTTAAGGGGTTGTGGAGAGGTTTTTGGGTCAGGTGCAGTGGCTCGCACCCGTAATCCTCCCTACTTGGGAGGCAGAGATTGGAAGGATTGAAGTTACAGGCCATCCTGGGCAATAGGTTAGCAACACCTCATCTCAACCAATAGTTGGAGATGGCAGCACATGCTGTAATCCAGCTGCATGTGGAAGCACAAATAGGAAGACTGTGGTCCAAGCCAACCCAGGCATTAAGTGAGACCCTATCTCAAAAATAATCAAAACAAGTATTGATGGCATGGCTCACCTGGTAGAACACTTGCCTAGCAAGTGTGAGGCCCTGAGTTCAACCTCTAGTACTGCCAAAAACACACAAAACTTTTTTCCTCAGATCACTGTTTCTAAGAAACATAATTCTCATTAAAGTTACTGGTGAAAACACATCCATATCCTGTTAGGCTGTTTTTTTTAAGTGACTCCTAGAGTTAAGGTATTGTTATTTGAAGACATTTGATTAGTCTTAATATTTTTATTCTAGGGAAAGGTCAAGTTTGTGTCTGAGAATTATACAACTAATTACACCAGGCCATCTTCTGGCTATGACTGCCACGTGGCTGCAGACGCTAACAAAGTCTCTCACAAGACGAGTCACTTTCGTGCCTTTGAACTGACTCAGGTATAGCCATGACCAAGTAACACCTAAGAATTTTCTCAATCTAATGAATTAAACTTCAGGGCTGGGTGGGGTTGAGATGAACTTAATACATATGTGATTCCATAGTGCTGGTAATACTTATTTTCTTCTTTCAGTATTACCTCTATGAGCTTTCAGACAACACTGTTATTAAGCGACCCAGACAGATCTGTCCTTATGTAATTGTAGCTTTTCAGTACAGGGAACCTAAAAAGATGGCAGCACCAACTCATGGAAGCATGTAAGTAATTATTACATTCTTTGCTTTTCTGGGTTTATTTCTCTTCCTCTTATAAAATTGCTCTTTTTTTTTTCTTTTCTAGACTTGAACTCAGTAAAAATGGTAAGAAATTATTTAATTAGTTCTTGTAATTCATTTTCTTAATAAATGTTTCATTCACTGTTAACCAGTTTCTTTTTTTACCTTCATTTCCTAAAGTTCTCTTCTCTCCATGGAAAGGGAAATTAACTGTTCAGGGTTGTGTGTTGTGTGATATAACTCTTTGGTCCACTTACGGCACAGTAGTTCCAGCACAACTGTAAGTATTACATTTTGTATCCTTCCTAATGCTGTATTCATTTTTTTTCACCAGTACTGGGATTGAACCCATCACCTTGCACATGGAAGACATGTGCTCTACTGAGCACTGAGTTACACCCCAACCTCTATTTTATTTTCATTTCAAGGGCTTGGTGGGTGACACTAGTGTGAAATATAGCAATTGTACTTGGTTTTAGATTAGGGTACATTTGAGTAAATGTATATAGCACAAGGCCTGACACAGGAGACCTAAATTCTAATCTATTAATGGTAAAATTATCTCTCAGGATAATTTGTTGTGTTGAGATGAGGTCTTACTATATTGCCAGGCTGGTCTCGAAATTGTGGGCTTAAATGATCATCCTTCCTAGCCTCTTGAGTAGCACTCTCACCATGCATGGCTAAATAAGATTATTTAGAGGTTTGACTTTCCTCCAACACAGAACAGATTTGCGTACATAGCAAATACAGCAAATGATAGCTAGGCGATCTTATTATTGAGTCTTTATTAAGACCTGTTGGTAACTACAGCTGAATATGATGGCATATGCCTATAATCCCAGCTATTTAGGAGGTTGAAGCAGGAAGGTTATGGGTTTGAATCCAATTTCAGCAAAGTGAGCAAGACCCTATCTTAAAAACCAAAGGACTTGGGGGCATAGGTCTTGTGGCAGAGCACTTGCTTATCAAGCACTAGGCCTTATGTTTTATCCCTAATACCACAAAAAAGGTGTGTAGGGGGGAATTAAATAATAGAAAAGAATGACAGAAACAACTAGAAGGAAGAAGCATTAGTAAATGTTAAACTTCAGTTTTCTAAATGTACTGCCCAATGTATTCCATCTTATAATAACATATAAAAGACCAGACTACAAAGACTTATTTCAGGGCTGGGACATAGCTAGTGGTCAGAACTCTTCCAAGTGTGTATGAAGCCCTTGGCATTCAATCCCTAGCACCACAAAAACAAAACAAAAACACTGCAGTATCTGTTTACATTGTAATAAGTAATAATAAATATTGAATATCTTCTCTTGGGAAACCATAAAGGACTTCTTAATGAAATCTTTTTTGCTCAGCCTGTTCTGACTTTGTACTCCCAAACCATTGAAAGAGACATAGTCTAACTGATAAACAAGGTGAAACTGATGTGCTGTCAGAATTCATTTTCTTCTGTTGGCATTTTTAAAGAAGAGGCAGCAAGGACAGTATAGCCCATAAATAATAAAGTAAAATTCTCTGAATAAATGAGAAAGAAGGAAAAATTTTTTCTCACTATAGAGAACAACTACTAAATGTACAAAAAATGATGGAACATAAAGACACAAGTAGATAGTAAAAACAGTAGGTAAAAGTTTGATAATATTTGCATATCTTACAGCATTTCTCTATAATTTGCTTATTAATCTCAAAAGAAAGAATACAAACTTTCCAGTGGAGAACACTGGCAAATCTTACATTAGCCAAGTCATTAAGCTAACTTAGCCATAAACGGAATAGATGTCATGTGCTTCGTGGCATGACCCATAGAGAATGACAGACTATCACTCTTTTTTTTTTTTCACCCCTAGTTCACAAGCTAGGACCTTGTGCATGCTCAGGCAGGCACTGTACCTTGAGCTATATCCCCAGCTCTACTTCTGCCTTTGTGTTATTGCTTTTTTAATCAGAGAGTAACATTAGACCTACCCAGACAGAGGACATTCTGCAAAATGGTCTATAATTCTTTCAAAAATATCAAAATTTTGAAAGAATAAGAAATTGTTGCAGATAAACTGAAATAGAGAAAATATCCTGGATAGGAAAGTTGTCTTTTCTGTGAAGGCACTTATGAGACAGTGGCAAGATTTGAATAAGGTGTAGGTTAAGTAGTTGTGCTATGTCATTGTGAATGTTTTGCTAGGCATGTGCGCTACCACCTGAACCACACTTGCAGCTCACTGTGAGTATTCTTGATATTGCTGATTGCTTTGTCATTGCACAAAAAAGTTGCCTTTTTGAAGGAAACCTACAAAGAAGTATTTGGACAAAGAGAGCATCATTTTATTCTCAAAAGAATTAGAAAAATTAATTTTGTGTGTGTGTGTGTGTGTGTGTGTGTGGAGAGAGAAAGAGAAGGGATGACAAAGCAAACATGGTTACTGTTGATATATAGAAATCCAAATGAAAGGTATAAGAGAATCCTTTGTAATATTTTTGCAAGTTTTGTAATATAATACTATTTCAAAATAAAGTTCTGAAAAAAAGAAAAAAGTAATTGGGAGATGATACAAAAGATCTGTGTCTGGTTCATTTTGTGGCACAATCCAATATTGCCAAGAATTTTCAATTCAACATAATTTTTGAAAATTCTCAATTTCAGTGTACTTAATTCTTTTTTGGGGAGGGTACTAGCTAGGCAGGTACGCTACTACTTGAACCACTTCAGCCCTCAATTTAAGGACTTTTGTGATTTTTTTTTTGGCATTATTTTAGAAAACTAAGAATTATTGAAAACTTCAGTATTTTTACACTGCTTGATTCATTTTTTTTGTTTTTTAGACCACAGGATCTAGACTTTAAGTATGTAATGAAAGTGTCTTCTTTGAAGGAAAGACTACCAGGAGCTGCCTTTAGAAAACAGAATTACTTGAAACAGAAAGGTCTGTTGAAATGTAATGGCATACTTCATGTCCTGGGCTTGGTTCCAGTTACTTTCCACTGTCTTCCAAACACACACAAGACACACACAAACATACTTATGATTTTCATCTTAAGTGATTCTTAAAAGGGCCTTTTCAGAAAGTTCTGGAGTTGCCATGTTCTTCACTTCCTTGGAAGCCAATAAGAAACTATGAAAGGTAGTTTCAGCTTTAATATCTGATCCAAAGAAAATTAAACAAACAAATATTCAAAATAGCTGGAAACTCATACTACTCCATTCAAGGTCCATAGAGTTTCTGTTTTTATTTATGTATGTACTTTTAAATTCAAATTAAAATTTTTGAATATAAGTTTTGGTAATTTAGATTAATTCATGGACCAATAGTGTTTATTTTACTTATTTAGTTTTTATCTGTCTTGTTAAAACTATAGCAGTGTCAGTGCAAATGAGAACATTGTTTTAAAACAATTATTTCAGTAACTTTGTAACTGTGAACATTAAGTGATAAAGTTTTTTGAGTAGTATTCCTAGTTCTTTCATTTCATATAAAATGAATTATAAATGATAACATATTAGAAATAATTTTTTTCTGATTTCTTTTACAGTCTGTTGCCAGGATTTGTGCTTCGATTTGTATGAGGTAGAACTGTCAAACAAACAAGGGAAAAACATAGATAAACTAACAGAATACATTAAAAATAAGCAATTGGTAAGAATCATTAGTTAAAGACACAGTTTTTTTTTCGTTAATCTGAGATATTGATTAGTTGACTAAATTATTTTAACTTGCTGAAAGGGGTTTTCATTGTTCAATATTTATTGAAATAATAACATATTTATTGATTAACAGTTTCATCCCCCAGTATGTCAGTTTGCCTTGTATCTCACTAGTCAATTTATATTCCTGACTTTCCTCAAAGTCTTTATTGTTTTGACAGATAATTGATTAGCTCTCTAGTGTTTCAGCATTGATCAAAGGACCACTTTTGAGACACTTCTTTAAAAGCCACCTTTATCATTTGTTAACATATCCACAGGTTTATAAGAGTTGCTTCTTCCATTGTTTCCTTCGTGTAGAAAATGAGACTCCTGAGATACAGTAACTGGCTCAAGAAATTCTCTCTACCATACTAACGAGGGCTTCTCATAGTGAGACTAGGAAGAGATGCTTGAACCAGAATATCACCTGGCCTCAGTATAATTGCTGTTTATACTCTGGTCACAAAGGATGTGGTGCAGATGTTGGCCAGTGGCCAAGCAAGTCTGAGGAATAACATCATGTCTATCCCCATAACAGATAGTAAGAAATTAATAAATGAATAAAGACTAACAGAAGCTGAGAAGGTAACCTGTCTTGCTGATAATGTTGATGAGGATACTCCAAGTTGCATGTAGTGATAACCCAAACTGCCTCAAACAATGGGGGATTGAATAGGCTTACCTTTTCTTTCTAGATGGTAAGGCAGGTTCAAGTACTAATTATTCTTGACTCTGTTTTGCCTTTAACTTTGCTTTTCTCTGTGCAATATAGTTTTGTTCTCAGGCTGCCAGGCAGGGCTATGTTTCTCCTTTTCATGTGGGAGGAAAGGGAGAGAACCCCTCCTTCTGAACCATCACTTCAGTCTTATTAGGCCAATTTGTCATCTGCGCATCCCTCATCTAGTAACTGGGGTGGCATGAGTGATTCTCAGATGAGTGTGAGATTAGACCTACCCAGTCTTCAGTAGTGCTCCCAGCAAAGGGGAGAGTATTGAAGAACTTTCTTTAACATGTTTTGTTTTATTTTTATGTTAAAGGCAATCATCAAATGCTTAGAAGACAGGGGAGTTTTTCATTTTACTTACATCATCAGCCTTAATACCAGAACCAGGTAAGGACAACTTCCTTTGAAAAAAAAAGTTCTTCAGTATGTTTACTTTTGTTTTATAACATCAGCAGCATAACTTTTCTTCTAACTCTCATTCCGTATAGATTTTTGGAGATGAGCAGATGGGTCTGCATGGATTACACTTATTCCATTCACCCCTGTCAAACAGGTAAGGATACAGTGGCTTTCACTCAGTCTGTTGAATAGTCAAGTCCTGTCTGACTTGACTTTTCAATAGCATAAGACACTGGTAACAGTTTTTTTTCCCCTCTCAAACAGCTCACTCCTTTCAACCTTCCTA